TTAAACTAAAATTAAATTAAAATTTTGACAAATTTTGACTATATTTTTTCAAATTTTGATGAATTTTTAAAATTAAACTACTTGCCGTATGGCCGTGAAATTTTAGTATGTTGTTTAGGACCATGATATTTATCGAAACAAAAAGTTTAATCGAAAAATTTTTTCAAGAGTTAATTACAAAGAAAAACGGCTTGGCCGATCTTTGTCCAAAATTAATCAGCACGACTCCCAAATAATATCTTTTGTAGTTTTTTAATTTTTAAAATAGATTTTGATATTTTGGTTAAAACAAAGAAATGGCTCAGCCTATCGTATAAAAAATCTAACTAACGCGAGTTGCTATTAAGTTTCATCCAACGGTTTTTAAATTCTTGAAATCGATTCAACCGTTTTTAAGATAACGTCGATGACTTATTGAGTAAATGACTTCTTTTAACAAGCGTCAAAATTAAAACGTTCGATGTAATATTTCAAACTTTGATGAATTTTTAAAATTAAACGACGTTACACTCGGACTGCTATGTGTACAGTACGCTGCAAAAATGCAAACTTTAATTAGTTTTTATAATTAAACCGCTTTTCATGGGCCTCTCAAATTTTACCACGGTCAGTTTAGGCATAAAATCTACCATTATGCCAAATTTTATCAAAATCCCAGACGAGCAACGCGCGGGTCCTCCTTGTTAGTCAAAACTCTTGATTTCTATTTCTTAACTGTATTGAATTTCATTACTTTATTCGCAATTTGCTAAACTTTTATATAGCACAAAAACTAGTGGGGCGCATGGCATCGTGCCTTAAGGGGGTCTTTCTATGTGACGGCCTGTTTTTTAGGGATATTTTAGGATTTTTTTTCTACGACCAGCAAATATTTAGAGCTTCAAGTTTTTTTATCATTTATTAACACATATTTGGACAGTATAAATATAAAATTTCAGCTAAAAATATTCAGTCAAACTAGAGTTACAGCGCTCTGATCAAACCCCGCCTTGAAAAAAGAGCTCCCACTTCCTCCACGATTCCGGCTGATCTGAAAAAAAAAAAAATAAACGGCGTTTTAATTTGTAGAATATAAAAAAATGCGTTGTTGAATATAAAAAAAATTGAATTTTTGATAGACATTTGTAATAAAAGTTGCAAATTAGGCGTTTTTTTTTTTGTTTTTTTGCTATAAAAAAATCGAAGTTTTGAAAATTTTCGATAGTTCATTCCATGCGTTTACATATATTGTGTCCTGTAAATTTCAAGTAATTCGGTCCAGCCGTTTCTGAGATACAATGGAGGAAAGTTTGAAAAACACAGTTTTGAGAAAAACGCGTTTAAAGTTTCAAGTCCGTTAAAAACTATCAAAATATCAACTCTTTTACCTGCTGTATTTTTAAAACGACTTCGAATTTTCTAAAATCGCTTTACTACCGTATTCTAGACATGTTAAGGGAGCAATTTATGAAAAAAATCGATTTTTTCAACCCATCACATAGGAAGACCCCCTTAAGGCAAATTGCTGGAACTTCCTGTACCAAAAATTATTATTTTTTTAAAAACGATTAACATTTTTGAAAAAATTTTACTTCGAAAAAATTAGATTTATGATAAATTTTTTTGAAAAAAAAAAATGTTTTCTTCATTTTGACATACGAGTATTTTGGAAATTCGGAACTTTTTTTCAAAGCAATCGTACTTCTTGAACTGCATAGAGACGAAATGTCAAAGCGCGTAAGTGCCGCGCCGGCGTCTAACGGATAAGCATTGGTACGGAACCCATAGGAATGTAAACAAAATTTATACATATTGTTAAAATCTCTATAGAATATCTGATAATTTGATGTGCATATGTCTAATAATCATTTTTGACCGCCAAATGGCATTTTTTTTTACTCTTTTACTAGATCTCCGAAACCGCTAGACCTGCCTTCATGAAAATTCGTTCAATTCTTCATCTTGTCAATACAAGTAAAATGTTTTTTGAATTATTAAAATCGGACGCTCCGTTCTCTCAAAAACTCGATTTCTATTTTCTGCACTCTTTGCTCCATATCTCCGTAACGGCTGGACTTGCTTTTGCCAAAAACTATCAGCACATCTCCCTATCAATAGGAATCGAATGTTTTTTAAACCATTCAAATCGGTTGATCCGTGCGCCCGAAAACGTGGACGAAAAATTGCGGACATACAAAACAAACACGCGCACACAAACACACACACACATCCATTTCTGAGGTGGAAATGTTTAGAAACCTTCAAAACGTCGAGAAATGCAAAAACTTTCATTTTCGATTTTCGGCCCATTACTATAACTACCCTACGGGAAGTTAAAAAACGAATTTGCTCTTTGATATCTAGTTCAATATTGTTTCTAGAATACTTTATAAAACACCAAATTATTAATTTAAACTTAATTTAGATTTAATTTATTCATTACATGATTTTCGTTAAAATGTATATTTTTGGAGATATATGCAAAAAAAAAGATGAAAACGCCCAGGGTTTGGCGGCGGAGTCCAAATTGTTTTCTCTTTTGAACTTGAGGGTAAGATGAACCTAATTCCTAAATTTCATGCAAATCGGAGCACTGTAAAAAAAATCAAACCCAAAACAGTCCATTGACTTAAGTAAATATAACGTGAACGGCTACAATATAAAGAGTCAGTTTGTCAAATAAGTAATAATGTATTTTTTGTTCTTTGTATGGATTACCGCTAACATCTACGTTTATCATTTATTTTGATATATTTTTTTATTTATATAAATTATACAAACCCGATCGTTTCTAGTCGCAAAGACGTGTAACATATTATACTTTTTATATCGTGTTTAACCCTTTTGTAACGAGCGTCGTAAGACGACATCCACATTACTACTATGTGTCAACATTTGCTGCAAGGTTTATCACTATGAGTTAAACTATTAACAATTTTTTATTGTTATTTTTAGTTCTTAGGAAGTTTAATTTTTAATTTTTAAATGCAATTGTTATGGTGATTGAAAAATTTTAAGATATGTTATTGTGTCTGGTACGTTCCGTGCGTGCAGCAGCGTCACTCCTGCGGAAATCACTCTCGCGGCGAAAGGGTTAAATAACGTTGTACCTGGCCCGTAAAAACATTCACAAATATTTATAATACATTCACTTTAGACAATATTCTTAACTCAACGTATGACAATTGTCTTTTTAGGTGTACTTCGCTGCGCAATATTCGCGATAATGAGGAGAAAGACTCGGCTTTTCGAGGAATGTGCCAGATGATAACTGTTAATCCCGCTGGTGTTGTACCAGATTTTATATTTTTTTGCGATGCAGTTGCTTCTTGGTTGCATCCGAAAGATGATCTAAAAGATATGTTTACAAAAGTAAGTTTTAATTATTGGGAATATTTAACACGATTATTTTGATAGTGCTGTTATTGATATTCAAACTAGTGGTGCATGTCATTGTGTTTTAAGGCAAATTGCTGGAATTTCCCGTACCGCTATTAAATATTCGAGCAAAAAAAAAAAAAATAATCAATAGATATTGATAAATGATTAATAATATCGTTTAAATATATTTTTTAAATAGTTTCGATGAGATAATTATAATTACTATATTTTTATTCGTTCATATAATATACAGTACTGATCTTATCACTCAAAACACTTGAAAATGTTTACATAAAGAAGAAATACTGAATAAATCCATCTGAGGATATATTTCTTACGAGTAGAATAACGCATATGAAATATATCCAGTTTTAAATTGAATTGTAAATTTAAAATTTTCTGAAGATTTTGAAATTTGTTTGAACAGTTAAAAATCTTGGTATGGAACACAAAAAAAAATGTAACAAAATTTGTTCTTATTTTTAAAATATCTATAAAATCGGATAATTTGATGTGCATATGTCTAATGATCATTTTACACCGCCAAATATATTTTTTTTACATTTTTCTCTGTATCTCCGAAACTGCTGAACCTGCCTAACCAAAAATTCAATCAATTCTTCATTTCGTTAGTACAAATAAAATGTTGAATTATTCAAATCGGGTGCTCCATAACCTCAAAAATTTAATTACCAATTTTGGCACTTTTTGACCCGTATCTTCGATACGGCTGGGCCTATCTTTGCCAAAAATTAATCAGCACGTCTTACTATCAGTAGGAATTGAATGTTTTTGAATCATTCAAATTGGTGAATCCATGCGCCCGAAATCGTGGACGAAAAACTGTATCCAAACATACATACACACACACGCGCATACATCCATTTTTTTTAAGGTACGCCTAAATGTTCAGAAACTTCTCAAACGTAAAGATATGCAAAAATTCTCTTTTTTTATTTCTTTGCGATTACTATAACTCGCTCTACGGGAAGTTAAAAAAAAAGGTAAATGATGATTAAGAAAATGATGCAATGTACAACTTGAAGGATCAATCGATGTACCACGAATGATCGAATAATCATAATAGCTACCGTTAAGACGAAAGTTGCAACATATTTATCGTTTCAAAAAAAGACATTTTATTAATTATATTTCTTAGTTTTTACAGTCTTCCAAAAATACATAAAACCGATTGCTTTTTCAGACTTATAGTTTTGTAAATTGATTCGCCGTAATTTTACTTATCCAAATTCTTTCATATTTATATTCTTTTCATATTTATAATATATTTTGAATTAAACAACATTTTCAAAACTAAAAAATGTCGGAATCTATTCAAAAACTTATTATAATTCTTATATATTAGTTGATAGTGAAGGATTTACAGTTTCCGCATAATTTTTCTGTCGTTGATCTAATTATCGCTGCAGTAATATACCACACACATTAGTAAGAAGTATATTGTTGACTTGTTGTTGATTGTTAAAAAATAGTTGAATTTTCCTCTTTACACATCTGGAAACGTTCTAGTATGGTGGAATACTTTTGCTGGCCTAATATTTTACGCAGTGGTGAACTGTTTCAACTTCTGGAAACGTTTCACTACGTTGAAGTACTCTTCAATACCTCATATTTTACATTCTCCAACAATTTTATACCAAAATCAGAGGATGCACGATGGGTAGCTTTAGCTGTATTTTTCGACTTGTAAAACTTGCAAAGTGAGAGTTTTCACAATAAAAACTTAAAAGTGCTCTCGTAGACCACACTTTTTCGAATAACTATAGTTTTGATTTCGAAAAACCCAAGATTTAATTTTATAAAAAAGAAGCATTGTTGAGCCGATGTTCATACTCAATATTACAAAAAAAAAAAACAATCAATTTACGAACATATACGCACATTTTGCATGATTCCTATTGAAAACTAGTAAATTCATTATTGACCACAAATATTTTTGATGTTCCTAATCTAATTTATATGAAATATTAATTTATATGCAATTATCAGATCAATTCTCTAAATAAAAAACATCGATTTTAAACTCTAGTGGTAACCTAGTCTAATAATAGTTCCTTTCTTAGATGAATGTATCAAGCAGTAGTTCGCTTCATAAGTGAGACGCTAGTCCAGTAAGTGTGAAAATGAACATTTTTGCAAATCTTTACGTTCCAAAAATTTCTGAACATTTATACGTACCTTAAAAAACGTATGTGTGTGTATGTAAGTGCGGATACAATTTAACTTCCCGTAGTTACCCTACGTCCTTTTCTAGTTATAGTAATCGCAAAAAAATCGAAAATGAAAATTTTTGCATATCTTTACGTTTCAAAGCTTTCTGAACATTTTGGCATACCTCAGAAAAAATGGATGTGTGTGTAGTATGTATGTATGTATGTTTGGATATATTTTTTCGTCCACGATTTCGGGCAAACGAATCAATCGATTTGAATATTTCAATAAACATTCGATTCCTATTGATTAGTTTTTGATGAAGACAGGTTTAGCCGTTTCATTGATATGGGGCAAAAAGTGCCAAACTGAATTTTACAAAGCCAGGTTCGTAATACAGAGCAGAAAGCGCAAAAATGACAAATTTTTAGAGAACGGAGCATCCGATTTGAATGATTTAATAAAAACTTTACTTTTAATGACGATATGAAGTATTTATTAAATTTTTCCAGTCCAATTCGGTTTTGGGGTTGCAGGGAAAAAAGTTGAAAAACACGATGTTTAGTGTCGTTAGTGTTTTTTGATTTTATTGAATTTTTTAAATTTTTAAATTTGTTTTAATGTGTAATTAGAAAATATATCTATATCTAATTTTGTACCATCTTTGTAAAAACCCATATTTCGTAAAAATCATTATAGCAAATACATAAATTTTCTTCCGCTTTCAGTTAGTTAACATTTTTGTTCGAATTTCAATTAAGATTTTCATTTACATCGATGTATCGCGATGAGGACTAGCTTTAGCTTTAGCTAGACTAATTTATCAATTTTGCGCGACAATCTGCCGAGCCGTTTCTTTGTAAATCGCAGAAAAGTGAAAAATTGTTTGGCCGTTTTTTTAGCCCGCAATTCTGAATCGATTTTGAAAATTCAAAAACCGTTCGATAGATATTGGTTGGGAATCGTGCTGATGAGTTTTTGGTAGATATCGGCCGGGCCGCTCTCTTGAAATAAAGTGTTGAATTTTTTTTTTCAACAATTTTTATTATTATTTTTTTGACGGTAGATACCATAGTCTTCTAGATTATTCTAAAATATTACGGCCCTACGACAACTCGTTTAATTTTAAAAATTCGTCAAAGTTTCCAAAAATTGGTATCGTTTTTTTTTTGGCATTTGTCAAAATTAGACCTTTCATCGACGTTTGCTCAAAGACGGATGAGTCGATTTCAGAAATTTAAAAACCATTTGACGTATCTCGATAAGGTTTTTCGTTTGTCGGTTTTGTGAGACGATTTGCCGAGCCTCTGTTCTCTCAAAATCTGACATTTTTGCGCTTTCTGCTCTTTATTACGAAGGGGTAAAAGCGCACAGATGAAAATTTTTAGTAAGGGTAGAAAAACCATATTTTTATATTTAAACATCTGGGAATTTTTGGGTAATAATGAAAGCAAAAGAAAAAGCAAAATATAGCAAAACAAAAGTAATTAAATTTAACTAGACTAGAAATTTAACTAGTTTGTTTTAATCTGTTTGACTCGCCAATTCGTTTGGATGGACTTCAGCTCTATTTTTGTGGTTCGAAGCAAGTATTTCGATTTGTTCTGCTATCGTGAGCGTTTCTGTGCCTTGATGATGGTTAATCCATATTGACGTATAACGAGAAGCGTTTATAATTTGTCATAGGATTTTAATTTGAGCGCGTTGGACCACTTCTTACAATTTGCCTAATATTCTTAAAGGTGCTGCTAGATTTTTAACTCCCTTAACTGAGCGTAAAATAAATTATTATTTTAGCTTAGAGATCTCGTCATCTAGAGACTCTATAGATGTAAAAAGAAAAATTAGAAGAATTTGGCATAAATTTCATGATCCGCAAACTAAAACACCGAAATAATCTATTAAGCTCAGATATAACCAATAGAACTTTGATAACTAAATTGAAGGATGGGCTCAGAAGTTCAAAATAAAAATTAACGAATCAATATCAAATTACTTTTCCCTAGTTAATCACTATTTTGTAGGGACAATTCAGATTTTGATCTCTAATTGTTTGCACTTTTTGCTGATATGTGGATCCAATCAATTTTTTGTCCAAGTACAAACCTAGATACTTTATAGTATCTGATTGTGGTGTAATTCTATCATTTATTTTAATTGCGGAAATTCGTCTCTCTTTAGGGTAAATATATATTTTATAGTAGTCATTATTGATTTTTATGAACTATTTCTGTAGATTCTTCATGGTTTTAAAAATCAAGTGGGCGAAGAAAACTGGACGAGGTTTAGTGATCAATTCCCGCCGCAACTTTACGAACGCCTTCGGTCGATGTATGGAGTTTAATGACATTTGTAATTGCGGAAACTATAGTAAGTATAAACACATTGCATTAGTTTATATATATGTATATATATATACACCTAAGTCTGTTTTTACACGGTAGATTGGTTCCAGAAGAAGTCGTGTAAAAAATAACGTGTAAAAAAAGACATTGATCTTATACAAAAATGGGTGATTTGTTCTTAATCTCTAAAACCTATTAAAATTAGTGAAAAACAAGAATTTTTAAGAACAAGAATTAAATTAGTGCTATTCACATTTGCTTTGACCAGTAAAAATTGTTTGTACGCGCTAAAGGGGAATTCACTTAAATCTTTAAGTTCGCAAACTATCATAGATACTATCGATGGTTTCAGACCTTTTTCTTTCATAAATACTTTTTTGTGATATGAACATACTTCGCAAAAATTAAATTTGACAAAAAAAATTTAAGTACATAAAATTTCAAATCGTGCTAAATGGAATAAAATCGTGTAAAAAATCAAAAATATACAATTTTCAAACCGTGTTAGATCAAAACCGTGTACAAAAAGATCGTGTAAAAACAGACTTAGGTGTATATATATATAATCCAGGAAATATCTATTAAATATATATTAGGGTGGACCTTAATATGGACAGTTTCGAATTTCCTTGCTCCCAGGGGAAAAAAATTCAAAATTTTTAAAAATGTTTTTTTAGATATAACTTAGCAAACACATCAATAAGTTTAATTGAAAATTCGACGCTCTACATAACAAATTATAAAAAACCTGTTGCGTCGAATTTTTAATGAAATAAGACATGAATTATCACTTTTGATTCATTTGTCGCTAAGTTATATCTAAAAACATTTTTAAAAAATTGAAATTTTGTTCATGCTAATTCCATACGAAATTTTGATTGAATTGCGCACTATCTAAAAGTTAATATTAAGAGCTAAAAATTCTAGAAATATTTTTTTATTAATTTGGAAACATTTAATCCTCTGGGGGCAAGAAAATTCGAAAATGTCTATATTAAGAACCGCTATATAAATGTAGCTCGACTACATGTTAGGTATTGTAAAACGTTAAAATGGTTGTACGGATTTGGCCATTATTAGTCTTGAAAAATTCGTGCTAATCAGTAGATAGTGGGAAAGGTGAGATATCATTTCAAAACCGCGTAAAAACTTTACATTTTTAATTTAAAATTTTTTGTAGAAGCGTAATTTAAATAAAGCAATGGACGGCGGCTCATACGTTAAATGTCAAACGTTTTTGACAGACGATGTTCAATTACATTTAATAGGAAGTTTTAGGTGAATATTATTTATTTAATTATGATTAAATTGTAGTAAGTAGTTTTGTTTATAGTTTTATTTATACACAAAAACGTTACTTAACGGGCCGCAAGTGTTACTAGAAACTCAAAATATTAACTTTTTTGAAATGTTAATATGAAAATTTACTTTTTGGCGTTATAGCACTCTCTTTTTGCAAATCATATTTTTCCTAAACTCGATGGTATTTATAAATCATTTTATAGATTATATTATTTTTTATTTTTAAATTTAAATTCAGAACCTAAATTTGGAATCGATCAAAGGGGGGACATTTTGTCCAATAACTTATCCTCAGTTATAATTTTCCAGAATTTATCGAAGAATGGATAGTAATATATGAAGGTCTGGGTTTAAAAAGGTCCACCACAGATATGTCAGTAAAGTTCATTGTTCAACAACAATATTCGAAAGTAGAGGGAAAAAGATGTATAACCAGCTCCAACTTTGATTCTTATGACTTTGCTATCAGGAGATAAACGGAAATCTTTGAAAATCCATAATAAAAGTATTTTATTCTGCTGTTAGCATTTTCGAAATAGTTAAAAATATGATTATTTTGTAAAATACCTTTAAAATTAAAATAAGACATTGAACCTGTTTGCCACCTGGCCGTTACATGTTACCCCGCCTATAGCGTAAAAAGGTCTATAGATAACAAATTTTTGAAAGACAACAAAAAGATCACATTTCTACAATGAACGTTGTCAGATAATTGTTCGTTTGAAATATGTTATTTGGTATATAATTGGTTTGGTTTTCATCATATAATTTATATTTGCTTAAAGTTAAATTGGGCTTTTGTGCCCCGCCTTGCTCTACATATATAATTTTTATTAAATTTACTTCAATTCATGGGATGTTACTTGACACTTTTCAAAAAGCAGGCCAAAGAAGAAATACTTAATTTATTTTCTATCTCTTCTTGCATAAATTTGAAAATTTTGTATAAGCTCAGTGGTATTATTTACAATTATACACAAAATCCAGAATTCAAAAAGAATCTGAAAAACTTGAAACGTAATCAATCTTCAATTAAATGGAATTTGTAATGACTATATAAGCCGAATGACCAAACAAGACTTGGATTGGATTATACCATGTTTTCTGTACACACATTTTTTTGATCGTCTAGAAATTGTTTAGTAAATACCTTATTTAGCAAAACAACGTTTGCCGGGTCAGCTAGTATTGTATATAAAAATGAAACTATATTATGTTAGGTATGCTAAAACGCTAAAATGGCTGAACGTATTTGGCCAGTCTTAGTCGTGAAAAAAATCGTGCTAATCTAAAGATTGTGGGAAAAGTGAGATATTATTCCAAAACCGAGAACAAACTTTACATTTTTAATTTGAAAATTTTTGTAGAAACGTAATTTAAATGAAACAATGTACGGCGGCTCATACATACGTCATGATGTTCAATTACATTTGATAGGATATTTTAGATGAATATTATTTCATTGTATTAAGTAGTTTTGTTTGTGCTTTTTTAAGTATAAAAACAGTATTAAACAGGCCACATGCTTTATTAGAAATTCAAAATATCAACTTTTTTGAAGTGCTAATATGAAAATGCACTTTTTGGCGTTATAGCACTCTTTTTTGTAAATCACAATTCTCTCAAATTCGGTGCTCTGAAAGAACTCATTTGTATAATTCTATAATCATTGGTATTTATGAAACATTTTCTAGATTATATTATTTTTTAATTAATGTTATTTAAATCAATCTAAATTTGAAATTGGTTTCAAAGCGGACATTTTGTCGAAAACCTTATTCCCAGTTATAACTTTGAAATACACACCTGTAAAAATGTCAATGCACAAAATTGCAAGTTCTCTGAAACGAAATATTTTGATTATAAATAAATTGATTACAAAGCTCGCATTCTATTACACGTTCCAGTATTATACCGAAATTATCAGAAATATGATTCAATATGTATATATTTTTTTTATAGCTTGACAAATGTCCTACAATTTTGAAGAAATTTCTTCCAAACGATATGTCAAAAACTATGCATTTGAGACACAGTCAGGCATCGTTCATGTTTCATTGAATTACCCTACAAATTGAAAACGTTGGAGAACTTCAGCTTTGGAAGTTTGTATCAAATTAAACTATTTGATAATGCAGTGTATAATATAATTCACTAATGGTTATTTTGTACTAATTTAAAAAAAAATAAGCTGGCAAAATTCGATATGAATATATCGAAGAATCGACAGTAATATATGAAGGTCCTGAGTTAATAAGGTCTACGACCGATATCTCAAAAGCGATTAAAGCATTGTTTAACAACAATATTTGAAAGTAGAGGGAAAAAGATGCATAATCAACCATCACCTTGATTCTTTCGACTTTGTTATCGGCAGAAAAAAATGGTAATCTTTGAAAATCCATAACCAAAGTATTTTCTTTCGTTGTTAGTTTTATGAGTTGAGTACTATGGTTTAGTTTACGATGCATTAATATAATTTTTACCTATACGTTATTTTATTGTTTTATAAAATGCAATGTTAATTTTAAGTGAAATTCAATAGTTTTTTTAATTACCACTTTAAAAGCTTACATCTGGGTGGGGTAAAAACGATTTACTGAACATTAACTCTGGTAAAGGTGTAAAAAATAAAAAAATAAATTAAGTTAAGTTTACAATTTAAAAAGCTATTTTACAAAAGATCAATTATATAAATAGTTATTTTAACTCTGCTGATGAATATTTTTGACGAAATACAAGATCGAGGTTATTTACAGTGTTAACTGTGTAAAAAATGCACCAATGGAACTTATAATTTGCATTAGTTAAATAATGTAATTATTTTGTTAAATAATAAAATTAAATAATTGAACATGTTTGCCATCTGGCCGTTCCAAAATGTCACATATCCGCAAATCAGCACAAATCTGCAAAACAACACAATTCTACAACGATGAAGTAGGTGGCAGTTTTACTGAACATAGTCAGATAGTTGTTAGTTGACATGCGTTATTTGTTGTGATATAATTGATTTTATCGGTATCGATAAAAGAACTAATTAGAAAAGAAAAATGTTTAATAATGATTTTCAAAAATGCAAATGCTTTTCAAGTTTGTGAAAATTTGTTTTTTTTTGCGTTATTCATCGTTTTTTGCTAATATTTTCAAAAATATACATTTTAACGAAAATCATGTAATGATCAAAATTATATCAATTAAAATCTTAATAAACCGGTGTTTTATAAAGTGTTCAATATTAGGCTAGATTTGAAAATAGTGTTTTATAATGCTCAAAACAAGCTTTAAAATGAGTACTTCTGCGAGTAAAGTAAGTGAGCTATCGTGCAAATAAAAGACGCATAATGTTTTTTTTTTCATTTAAATCAAATTGTTTGAGTGTCATTTCCACCAAAAGTAAAAATAATCGTATTCCATCTGAAATTAACTTTCTTTAAGAGGTCTTGATGGATTCTGGAAAATACCACAACTTTAGTACAAACGATTTTCAAAAATCTCATGATTTCATGAAAAAAAAATTATTTAAGAAGAAACAACCATTTTCTTATTATTATATCTCTGAAAGAATTGAAGATACGTATAAAGGTATATAGATAGAAACTCAAGATCTTTTTCTGACCAGTTTATGCTTCTTATTATTTTTCTGTTACCCAAATGTTGATAGAGTTATGATTGTTTAAAAAGTGCGCGGCTGTCCAACCAGTGTCTTTCGAGCTTTTTAAC